CGAACAACAACAACAACAACAACAAAAACAAAACTGTAGGGCGCCCCTACTGCCTCCGAATGGTAATATCATGGCAAAACGTTACGAAAGCGATTGGGTATAAAACTGCTATTGCTAATTAAGAAGGAACTTAATCATACATTTGCCACTCTCCACCCATGTGTTAAATCGGTAACTGGCTGGATTTATTCCTTGTAATGCACTGTGCGCTGCTAGCCAGAGCTGAAGTCAGGGTAATAATATCCAAATTTCTTTGGAATTAAGCGCATAGGGATATACAAGAACGGTTGATTGTTATACGTTTCAACAAATCAATCAACTTGTCATGTTATTCGTTTCAGCTGGAAATATATGCACATCTCTTTGATGGTCAAAACCATACAAAATTGCTCCTCTATCAATGCATGTCTATTCAGCCTTGTCACGCGTGTGATGTATAAATGAATTGAACCCGTCAAAGAATAATAACGAACGATGAGTTTACACCACAGGGCCTCTCATAATACTTACCTATCTAACCTAGCACCTCACTCAGGCTCCTGCCAGAAGTGGTTTCACAAAAAGTTCCTGGGTTTACGTTTCAAAAACATCTACTCCAAAAGTCCGAATGCCTCGGATATATAGTTCTTGCAAATCGTGCCAGTATAACATCAATTCACAAACGTTGTTCTAAAAATTATTATGGGTCCGCATGCCTGCATGTCTATGCTATAAGGGGGCTGTGAGCCATATTGACTTGGCATAGTTCTTTCGCAGCCTACTTCAAGCTCAAGTTCTCATAAGTCATAAGAGTAAACACTCGAAGACGCCTTTATATTTGCCAAAGGTCTATCGGTTCTTTGTTGCTCCACTTTACATTTTGACACGGATTTGCAGATTTATATTTGATCACGTTTCTGGTATTTTGCTTTGACTTTTCTTTGCTTGAGCTCGATTTAGCCGATACTTTTCAGGGAACATTTAGTTCTTTTTCGGTTTCTCTTATATTTCTGTTAACTTCACCTTTCTCCGTCTTCCTCCTTATTTTCTCTAACCGTCTTCTTATGTAATAACAGAATGATGTGTTTGTTTTTTGTACAAGTGAATTTTGAACGTTTTGTTCTTTCATGATAGAGAGTAAGAGCTCCTACTCCTTGAAAAATAATCAGAAAACTTTACTTTCAAATGCTTGAGTTACGTGTACCTGGAGAAGAAAAAAAACCTCCAAAATATAATAGCTATCCTGTCACCCAAATTCGAAATCGCCCATACACTACACCTTTGCAGTAGGCCTATATTAAATAAGTATTACATAATATTTAAAGTTGGGAGGAGTATGTAAGAAAGAACACAACGGGGTCAATGTTTGGTCTACTATTAAATTGAAAAACTAGATGTCTTTCGTCGATTAGTTAAGTAGGCCTATTCAAGCCTATTTGCTCTGTTAAACCGCTGTAAATTGATGGGGGTTCATAAACGGTGCTTTTCTTCGTCTGCGAATGGATTTAGGACTTGTCGTCAATAGAGGATTACGTTCAGACCTGCGGGTATCGGACTATATTTGTGACCCCCCCCCCCCCTCTCCCCTTTCTCTCATCTCCATTCTACTTCTCCCATCTCTATAGAAGTAAAAGATTAACAAATGTTTGTGTTTGATTTTCTTCTCCCAGCTTTGTTGTTGTTACTTTTCGTTTCTTATATTCGTGTATATTGTACATTTTGATTTGTGACAGTGATGAATGTTAATACGGTGAGTAACATATGACAGGTCAATGGCCTTTGCTACTCCTTCACATCCACTTCACCACAGTGTACGCAACTTTTGTCATTACATCATTTGTCTATTTTAGTACAAAGTCGTTCTTAAATTGTTTATTTCTGCAAAATTTGTATTTTTTAAGGGATGTGAAGAACATGTATTTGAATTTGAAAGTATTTTCTGAAATTACTTAATTATTTCATAACGAATGATTTAAACAGGTATTCAAGAATGTCACTTGTTTGGAGTAAATTATGAGTGTGAATGCTAAATAAGTATACTCTCTAAAAAAAAGAGTGAATGTTCACTCTATTTTCACTCTCCAGAGGAGTGACGTCCGTGATCACTCGATTTTGTTTTAGAGAGTAGTATGTAGGTGAGAGAGTAGTTTGCAAGTGCGAATGCTAAATAATTATAGTATGTATATAGGTCCCCAGCTGAGAGTTAAAATGAAGAAACCTTTTGCTAAAGCACTTCAAAACATACATTATACTAATGGAGACAGTTGCCCAGCTGAGCTGTTGTTAAAGTGGTAGGTACGTAGCGAGTGAACTTTAAAAAGTGAGGAATTATCAAACACTTCAACAAATTATATTTCGTTCAAAAAGAAGGAGTCTGAAGAGGTTCAAAACTTGATCGGCCGTTGATAAAGAAGAATGTCCCTATAACGGAGATTTAATCTGAAGAGGTTTTTTCTAAAGAACAATACTAATGAGATAGATCCCTCGGTGAGAGTGAAGAATGGAGAGGATTCTTCTTCTTCTTCGTCAAGATAATCTGCCTCCTTCAATACAGGATTGGGGCTTCCCTTCAAGTGCTTCAAAAGCTAATCAACTGTTTCTAAAGAGGTAGGTTCGCACAGTTAAAGTTGTGGACTTAAAGACGCATAGTGGGTTTTCATGGGGATTTGGGACCATTCGGGTGTTTACCCCAAAACATTAGTGTCGTCAGTTACCAAAAGTGGAATTAACTTTTGTGACAGACATGTCTTGTGTAATGGACTGTGCCCTAGCCTACCACCTTATGGAATTATCATCGTAATATATACCGAATTTCCCTCACCCTCGAGGTATAGGAAAGTTGGAGAATTTTCTGATGGGACTATACGGGTTCGCTGCGTCAGAGACTTTTGTAAACACATACGCATTAATTTGTAGTTCAACGAAATATAGTATCTGCTAATTATGATGCAATACACATGGACAATGACTACTATGTGGCTTTAAGTTAGGAAAGGTTTGAGACTATCGTTCATAATTTCAAACATATTAGACTGTAGCTCAAGAAGAAGGCAATGTAGTATGTCCCCAGATGAGAGTAAAATGAAGAAGTTTGTAGGATTGTTTATTATCATTATCATTATTTTAATTATTTCGTAACACTTTAAAGATAAAGTTGATTTCTAGTCATTCGATTAAATTGTGAAATGTGAAGCGATTGAAAGTCGTTGATAATGTAGGAAATCATCAAAATGATAAGAAATTGGCTCAGTTTTGCTTAAAGTCACTTGTGTGCATCATTGCACGGTACAAAGAAATGTGTATCTGGGACTACACAAACATGTAGCATGAACATGTGGTCCAAAACATTCAGCTGCCATCGTCATCAGGAGACATTGTTTCTAAGATACTTTTCCACACACAAACAAAAAATGAAAACGCTCACAAATTACTTGTAACCTTTCCCAGAATGCAAACTTATATTTAACCCTATTCACTTATTGCTTAAGAATTATGTACGCTAATCTAGATTAGAGTACATTTTTGTAAAGCACTTCAAAACCTTCGAACCTCCTGCTTTAATAGAGTAAAGTTAGGAGTGGCACTTCTGAAGTTACTCGACTGTAATTATAAACAAGGTCCCTGCATGGAAGCGAAACCCAAGAAACGAAGTTGGCCTACATGTATATGTAAATAAGTTTGAGAAATCAGGAAACAGCAAGATTGCTTCATTTATTGTATATAGTTATTTCTGTTATTTATATGGTTGGTATTCATTATGTGTATCTTATTCTGAAGTATCATATGATATTCATTTGTACATGTGTTCAAATGTGTTATTCAGAGATTGATTTTCAATCAAATGGCCTTTCGGAGGGTCCAAACAAATTGGAGAAAAAAGTGATGTTATTCATATAGGGTGGCCCAGTTTTCTTCAATACTAGTGATCTTTCATTCGGCCCTGTTTGGTAACAACAAATTGCATTAACATCATGAATATAAAAACCCATATAACGGTAACAGCACAAAATACATGCAGGAGAAAATGAATATATACATGTAATGTGGCCTACACAAATTCTTCGGTATAAAAAAGTATGAAAATAAATAAAAGTTCTTTTGATTAGGAAAGAGAGAGAGGGATAAATAATTAATGAATAGATAAATACATGTATAAATAAATAAATGAATAGAATAATGATAAACAGGACTCGTATAATTCAAGAGGCTCAAGAAATGAGACAGATCCTTGGCAGTAAAGTTCGAAAAGTCAGCTAAATCGAAAAAGTATGCGAAGGAAAAGCTTCTCGTCATCTGCTTAACTTTTACGACGGATTATGACGGATCGGGAAAGCCAAGTGAAATTGAATTCTTGATTCAATTATGATTTCATCGACCCTGCCTAGTGCCTCGGGAGCCCGGAGCCGCAAACCTGATCCCCAAAGCCCAAAGTCATGAGCTCCATTCATAGTATGTTTGAAGAATATATCACATGATAAATAGAACCATCAAACCGTCGCTAATAGAAAAATGCATTTACATTACAAGTAGTTACAATGTTTATTTTAGTCTACGGAGGCACTTTGCACGTCTAAAGGTTGAACAGTTTAAAGCGACATTGTTTTTTAAAGCTGTCATCATGGTTATGGTATAATACGATGGAAAAAGGCGCGACGTTATAATTCAAAATGTGTATACGCTTTAAACATAAACGTATAGGCCCTTCCTGTATGCATGCCGTCTTGTTTAATTAAGTAATATGTTTGCGAATGTCAAATACAGTATACTTTAATTTTGGTTTCCGTCCCCTATTCCCCATGTACAAAAGGTATAATGGATTAATATGGCAAAGATAAGCGCATTTTTACTACAACATTTTAGTTAAAGGAAAACTTTATTCAAGAAACTTCGTAAAATTGCGATATTCAGGTTTTAAATGTAATCATTAATTCAAGGCTCGAAACTAAAGTCTACCAGTCGCGAAATACATGAAATTTCATGCATGCGAAACCTTTTCTGCTTTAGTACTCTGAAACACTCACCTAAAAGTCATGGTACCTTCAATAAAGAAATATATCCGTCCAAGAATAACTTTCCTGTACAAGTCAGTCGGTAAAATTTAGAAATCATGTATATACCACTTTATATTATGTTCCGTTGTTTAACGTCCACCGGCCCACCGAGACTGCATACGGGTGCACCTGTATGATCGTTATCCCACGATAATGATAATGATTGACCGTGCACTTCAAACTTCTAAAAGAAAAGCGCTTCGAGATCTATAATGGCTAGGTCTAACCATGGTCCAACGAACATACGACGAGGTGTAAGCATGGACCAGAGCACTCAGAGAGTGTGAGTTGTTGATGTTTCTATATTTTTTGTTCTCATTCTATTAGCTTCCATGAGCATCTTAATTCAATTTGAAGACGCCCACTGAAATGCCACTACCATGAGGATCCTCAAGTTTACGAGTGTTTCCCTTCATAATGATGATAAGATCGAATGGTCGATGAAAGGACATCGCTAGACCATTCTAATTGAATGGGGAGGAGACCTGACTTGCCGACAAGGTAGCCGGAAATTTCTGAACAAACTATAAGAAAATGAGTTCTGACTGATTAGAAAGGTTCGTGAATTCTTCAACAACAAAAATCCCACATTAATTTTGATGACGAATGATTTTGAAAAAGAGGTTCTAGACCCCTTCAAAACGAAGTCCCTGGAAAGAGCTTCGTGCACCAGAGGTTTAGAGAAGTGGTCAAAGATATGTTGCCATGGTAGCAGACTTAGTAAACACTAATTGGCGGATCCATGGGAAGAGGGGGGGGGGGGCACGGGAGAACGGAGGTGGCACGTGTCCCCCCCCCCCCCTTCGGCAAAACTCAAATCTGGCTTTACTAAGTTCACACTAATTATAAATAATGTGCCCCCTAATAGGCCTAGTATTGTTCCCCCAGCACCTTAACCCTAATAGGGCCGGGCTATTTGAGGTCTTAGTATGGCCGGGGGGGGGGGGCATTATGGCCCCCCCTTAAGTTCTCGGAAAATTTGCACGCATGTCAAGTGAAGTGTATAGAATAATATGATAATTTCAATTTTTTGAAAAATTCACTCATTTGCATATTTATGGTAATTTATGCAAATAAAGTCATAAAACTCACATTTTTACCCATAAATCATATATTATTCATAATTAGGCATTCTTTTTCACTACATATATTCATTAGACCATTCTGAATAATAATACAACACAAAATTTGGAAGAGCCAGCTTATTCCTTATGTTATCCCTTGTTTTGATAATTTCTTATGTATTTCATTGTTTTTTTAACTTATGTATTTCGTTGTTTTTGTTGTTTTATTTCATTTCTTACTACAATTCAACTATTTTGACACCCAAAACAACCACCTAAACTTTAAACAAGACCCAATAACCCATGTTTGATCTGTTTTTTTAGGAAAAATGACTTTTCCATATGTTGTGTACACAAATCACGAAAATGAGCGATTTTCGGGCTGACATGCAAAGACAAAAGGTCACGTGACCTTGTAACCGTAGGTCCTATTTAAAAAAAAAAAATCTTTTAAAAGTTGCGCAAGACTCGAAAGAAAAAAGTCAGCGAGTGGCAGGGCGCCATCCATATGCATTCTCGAGCAATCAGAACAATCGTGGAGGGGGGGGGGGGGGGCCATAATGGCCCCCCGGCCTTATTAGGGTTAAACATTTTTTTCTTTTTTTGTTAACGCCTAAAAAATGGAATGAGAATTAAACCTGAAACAAGTAATAAATTCCTCTGTGTTTGCTTAATCCCTTTTTATTGTTCTTTGTTTCTTTCTATATAATTTTTGTCTTCTTCCTTTCTTCCTATTTCCTTTCTTTTCTTTCTCACCTTTCTTTCTTTTTCTTTCCTTTCTTTCTTTCTTCCTTTCTGTTCTTTCTTTCTATCCATCTATTTCTGACATATTTTTCGGGCTGCCTCCCCCCCCCCCCCCCCTACACGGTCAGAGAGTCCCAGATCCACCAATAGATTATAGATGCTATTGCGCTTGCTTTTCCTGTCCAATTAAATGTATTCTTCAGGAAATAAATAGTTTTTTTCATCCCATATAGCGTCTCATGATTGCTCCTCCGTACAAATAATATAGTGAAGAAGAGAGCAGCAACACAGAGCGAGAACGAGAGAGGAAGAGAGAGAGAGAGACGGAGAGAGAGAGAGAGAGAGAGGGGGAGGGGAGGGAGGGAGGGAGAAAGGGGGATGGGGTGGTGGAATATTTGTCTATTGATGTCTTGCCTAGCAACATCCAACTTCAAGTTTTTAAAGAGGTCACTTAAAATTCTCCAGGATGAAATATCATCATTACTTGGATTCGATTTTTAATCTCAGAACAAGCATACTACAATATTTTGATTTTGTGATGCTACCCCTCCCCTTCCCTTCCTCCCTCTCCAAAACCCCCCTTGGTTCCCCTCCCTCCTTTATTTAACTCCCATCTCCCTGTTTTAACCCCTCATACCTTCAAATTATCTTGGGATTGTTGGAGTTTTGGCCATGGCCTGTTTATGCTCTACGTTACATGCACCTCGATGTATTTTCACAAATGAACATTGTGATTTATAATATTTTAGTGGATTTTGAGATGTTTTATGGCACGTACATGTTGGGAGTTAACGATTATCAGACTCTTGAGAATAAACACACACAAAATTTGCTTGGTTTTCATCACAGGTTACTGATCTTCGTATTTAATAATTCCCCTATGCCAACGCCCCCCCCCCATTTTATAGCGCCCCTAATACCCCCCCCCCCCCCCATCGCCATCAGCTTCATAATTATAGGCATATAAGATAACTGTATGAGAATGTAATGCGGTAGATATTTGACAGATTTCTTTTAACCCCAAGATAAACAGGATCTAGAAATGTATAGCAGTTTACGGTTGCGTCATTTTGTAGTCCTCAAAATGACTGTTGCGATCCTCTCATCAAGAATTCTGAAATAATAATAATAATAATAATATGTCTTGTTTACCCAGGGTAGCCTCATCAGTATTCATATTCTTCTCCCTGAGGGCCCTGCAATCATTATTATTACCCCGGTCATCGGATTCAGGCTTACCCGCACACAATGTATGCACATTCTCCACTCCCTGGGGAGCATTCCAGCCAGGCGTCATTTTTTCAAGCGCACACTTGCTAATCTAAGCATTGTAATAAGAAAATCTCAATCAATGGTTCGAACAGCTTGCTCTGATTTTCTTTCTTGCCGAAGTTACCAGAACAGTCTAAAGACTATTTATATAGGCCTTCGTGGTGTTTCCGTAAACCTCTGTGAATTTCTAGCTATTCCACCATGCAAACCTACAAAACTCATCTTGGAAAAAGCATCGACCCTTACCCATATTGGTCTGTATTAAACCCGACCCTGGATCACGTTAACAAAAGGAATAAAATAGACTCCAGACTAACTTTCTTTCTAAAACCAGGCCATAAAAACGGGCCATTGTTTAGATTTACATTCCACAGACTTGTTTTTGTACATATTTTTTCAAGTCATGTTTGGGTGAATGTTATTTATTGCAACTATGATTGGAAGGGCTAAAAGCATTTCCGAAATGATAAATGACGTTTGATTGCCAAAGAATGGTTATTTATCTTTCTTTCCATACTCTTTACACCTCGCTAGCGGCACTGGGGTGGTAAGGGGGCATGTTACCCCAATGATCTGTACCCTCGGAGTGATTGATATCACAATCCTCCCACCGAACAGCTCTTTCCTTGTCCTCATTTGTCCCCAGCCCTCAGGAAAATTCTGGTAAGTCCACGCCTCGCCCCCATGTAATATATTTGTACCCCAGTCATCTGTAGCCCCTGTACCTCAAATATACAGAGACATGATTTGTCATTGTCACTTCTTCCGGCCCTCCTGTCAATTCTCCTCTGAATCTACTCCGAATCAGTGGGAATTTTAGTGGGTTTGGGGGTACCCCCGACCCCCACATTTCTTCCAGCCTTGCCCAAAAGAATTTCTAGAGGCATGTACAGATGAATTCAAGAACCCAATGCCCCATCCCCCCCCCCCCAATAAAATATATATATTCTGCCAGCACCGCTCCTGGTTCAAGCTTCCAAAGAACCACGAGACGCGGTGGGTATGCCCATTATGAAAACATACTCTATTCATGGCCTTCCCTTTCACCCGGGCATGTTTTCACAAAATGATTTGATTTATTGAATTATGTTTGGATGAATTCATGCCATCTATAATTGGGAAGCCCAACTGTGAAGCTAGTCTCTCTTCCAAACAAGTACCTCGGGCTTCTCAAAATACACCCTCTTTATTATTTTTAACTTTGAAGAAAAACAAAATCGAGTAGTTGCCGATTTTAGATAGAGGACCATAACAAAGCATTTCATTTCATGTTTCTCGTTTCCTGATATTGCTCACCATTTTGTCAAATTTGAAACATGCCTATTTCTTATTCTATTATATCCTTTGATTGCATGGGAATCATCATGAGACTGGACAATGAAACAGTTTTAAAACTTTTTTGTTGAAGGAAAACATTCGTTGATGACTTCATTTACAGAGGGGTTCAATGTCATATTTAAATCATCACATATACATGCAGGCCGATACATGAACTCCGATATAGAAGTCTATATCATATTTATAATGATAATTCACGAAAGTGTATATTGTTGAAAAATCGTAAGATCATTGTAATTTTCATCCTCAAACCTCAGTTCCCATACTCCAAAACTTCATATATCAAAACAGTTGTATGTACTTTTCCGGGCATTTCCTATTTTAGAAGATCTTTCAATTCACAATCCTTCTATCAACATAACATATGTTAGTCATGTTGACTTGATCCTTGTAACAACTGTATAATTCAATAATTGCGAGCCCCCAACTGAGTTGGCAACCGCACTCGTCAAATACACTGTATACACAATGTATATGTTTCGCTTTCAAAACATGTTCACATGCTGCTCCTACTTGCTATATACATCGATATAAATGTAAAGTAAAGAAAAGGAAAACAGTCTCAAACTTTCTTAGAGGGAACAAGGATAATCATATTCAATTGATATAGCCAATATCAAATTTAGTGCTATTGGAGGATATTGTTCCTTGCCC